GACCATGTTTCGCACCCATACAAAACAACAGGTAAGATTATTGTTTTGTATACTTTAATTTTCAGGTTCTTAGAAATCAGACGGGAAGACAATATTTTGAACTGAGAAGTAGCAAGCATTTCCAGAATTTAATCTCCTCCTAACTTCCTCATGAGTGTTGAATTCAAGTACAGCTGATTTTAAATTCAGCACATGATGTATCAAGTTTCCTCAAAATTTAGCTTACTTTCAACTATATCACTCTGGTTGAAACAGCAAAACCTTGAATTTTGTGCCTCTAAAACATTCACACAAAACAGTTTCCATTTAAGGATAAATACATTCTTTCTGGTAAAAGCACACTGACTTTTCTATGTATTTTGCAGATGGTCCCTTTCGCTGCATCTCCTTCTCACAGTGGCTTCATTGAAATCAAAATGTCTTCCAGCAACACCTTTACCATGCTCTCTAGCATACTCCATAAATTGTAGCTTGAATGCTGTGTCACAGTCCATGGATTTCTTGCCCATATTTGACTATCAGCAACTAAACCTAAAACTATTCACAATAACAGCACAACTGCTCCTAAGAATGGCTTCAAACTAGGATGAGACATTATGCAAGACCACCAGGCAATGTGTGACTGGATGTCACAGACTTGCTACAACCAATGTCTTTTGAAGATGGCTGTCTTATGTGCTGTTGCACCATGTAGTCTGGTAGAAGTTCACCAGTGTTTCAGACATCAATCGCTCTGATGAAAGGATGTGATGTATTTCATATTGCTGCCTACAGAAAATCTTTACATCCTAGCTCTCTACTTGTACTTCATATTCAAATAAATTTCATATTACAGTGGAACCTCTATATAACACGCCCAGTAATACCACAGTTTTCATCATGTCTCCCAATACAATTACACGTTTCATGCCATACACTTGTAACAAGGTTACTGAAGCTGTCCCCTGACACCCATGCCATATTCAGGTTCCACTGTATTTAATACTGGGATACTGGGAACGACCCGTTCTTCAAGTGCCTAAGGACTGCAGGTCCCAACTTTTCGTTGGTTTTTGATCTATAGACATTTCGGCAGGACTCCTTCGACGAGGGATCGGCCCATAGCAAGGCCTCTACTTGTACACAGGACAGCAAAGTAAAGTAAAGTTTGTCCCACTATACGCCATGTAGGCGTTTGGGGTGAGTGGAGGTATA